GAGGGGGGGGGGGGGGGGGGGGGGGGGGGGCATATGGGGCTGTAGATGGGTATGGGTAGGAAAGGGGCGAGTGCGCATGCGTATGGCTCGGCATGTCTCGGGTTTTCGGGCGTGTTGATCAATCCGGTCTTGTACGATGCTTTCCGTGGGCGCCTAGCTTCGGAAGCGCCGCCGTCGCGAGATATCACGACGTTTGATGAGGAGGGGAGATACCACAATCCGCGCCTTGGGTGATTTTTCGTCACGTTACTCGTAAGGTTTCCGGGCTCTTGTATGAAACAAGAGACACCTCTAAACGACACACGCCTTCTCCGTATTGCACACCGTGGTATTTACAATTCCGTGTCAAGAGAGTTGATATACTTTTGACAAGATGAGCTAACCTCAAAGGTGTAGGAATTTAGCAGCACTTCCAAGTATATACTGTACTCTAGTTTGACTGAATGCACCTTTTTTTTTTCTTTCGTTTTTGGCGTTCATTGTTTGTGACGTACGGGAATATATGCTGCGGTTGTGCACCTCACCCATATGCTTGTCGTCGATGAGCGTCAATTAGTCGAGCCGCGGAGCTTCGGTGACCGCTGTGTATACTTTTTAGCGAGACTAACTGCTGTGATGGGCACCTTCGTAGTGATAACTGCTGTAACTGTTCGATAGGGCAAGGCTTGTTACATGGTGCTTGCGTCGTTTTTGCTGAAACAGTCATGACCAATTTTGGCGACCAAACGTTCGTATCTGTCTTGTGTACCCCCACCACAGCAGTCTGTTGTTTCCTTGCCGTGCTTCCCTTGGTCGGCGGTTTGAACGCTTCCTGGTGGCCTTTTGGGCGAACCGTGTGCATAGATGTTGTGTTGTTCTGGGGGTCGGAAGTCTTTTTATCGTCGTATCATCTACAGCAGCAGTAGCTCGTGCGCATAGATGTTGTGATGTTCTCGGGGTCGGGGTGTCTTTTTTGTCATCGTGTTGCCTACCAACTACAGCAGGAGTTGTAGCTCGTGCGTTTCACACAGACGGGCAGTTTTGCGTGCGATGACGAACTGCAACCCACACGTGATGGCAGAGGTCTAGACTTCGATGCGTTTGAGGAACTGGCGTGCAATTCGCGAAAGAGTAGAAGAGCGAGATGGGACGCCGAGATGTGTGCATGTGGCGAGAAAGAGTCGTCTTGTGTTGAACCGTTTCTGATATTTTTCGTTGCGCTTTGTCTAGGTAGTTTTACTTGTAGTGTTTTACGAGAGGGTGGTGTCAACGACATGTTATGATGGTCCAGGCGTGAAATTGTTGTTGTTGTTGTCTTCGCATTAAAATTGTACACTCTTTTTTCCAAAGCACGTTGAGACATGAAATGGTGCGCGCCCTCAGGCGACGAAAGGAAGCCAACGGTCCCTACAAAAACCCATGTAATTTTTATCTATCCCGGCTAGTACTACGAAGGCGTTGATTGGTTATTGTCGAATCTTCATCTCGTATGTGCTCTCTACGCCACCGTGAGTCACCTGAAAGTGACAAGTAAATACCTACTCCGGAGTATTAACGTTAACCAACCCGAAGTTCCCGACTGAAATTCCGCGTTGTTTGCAACGCACGGTGATAATGAGATTCCACCCCTAAAAAAAAACAGCACTGTCGTAGACGACCAGCACGGTTGCCCGAGGCAAGCTGTGGTAATGATTGTATGCCTATCCCGGCTACTACGATCGATCGACAAAGGGTGTACATCGTGGACCCCGATTTTTTTTTTTTTGCGGTTTTTGCCCCCTCTTATGAATCTAGTACCTGCTCTCATCTCCCTGTCATCAATTGCTGCTTTCATTCAATGTTGCGTCGACAAGGCGAGAAGGTCATTTGAATTGAGTCCGTGCCTTGAGCGAACAACATGATGTTGAAGAAGACGACCTCTTGTTTCGTTTCTTGAACGGTTCCTCTCTGGCTAATTATCGGTCCCGTGTTGTATGCGACACGAGTTGACGTTTAGATGTCAAAACAATGCGTTAGCGTCAACACATGGACGGCGACGGCCGTAAATCA